CCCCCCCCCCCCCCCCCAACCCCAAAAGCTACCCCATCCCAACTGACATCAGCTAGTCTGGTTGAAGGTTGATGCACATGCAGCAGACTTGTTTTTGCACGTTGGAAACAGCACTGAACAAAAAATAGAAATTTTGAATAATCTGTCCAGATTGGATAGTGAGGACAGAATTACCTGATTTGCTTAATAGGATAACTGGGGCAACTGCAATCTGTTTTGATTATCAAACATCACTGCACGTCTTGAACTTTACAGTGAGCTGCTGAGTCGCAGACCAGGACAGTTGCAAACGGTTACTTGTCCATGGGCTGCATTAGTTGGCCTCAGTTGAAAAACCTCATCGCCTTTACATTTGATCTGTTTTGTTTCTCCTCTCTACACCTTCTCCAGTGATTGTTCCATTGGACATAGTGACCACAGTTGAAATTGGATGAAACCATTGCCACATCCATGACCCAATCACCAGTTCCACTAGGGGATGACCTAGATGACTTTCCGCTCAAATGGATGTAGAGAATGCATGATTGAACTTGACGAAATTTGCATTGTATGGTCAGGGGTGTACTTCTAACCAGAGTCACAGTCAAATGCTATCATGTTCATTTTATTGAAGCATCTCACATCCCTGCCCTAATTATGCTGGCGTTTTCATGGGCAAACTATCTCGTAGGACAATTGCATTGCTCAGCTTAGTCACTCCTAATTGGTATGTATTAACCTAATCACTGAACAAACATTACAAATAAAGCAAGTTACTTTGATTTTAATTTCTTCAGTCCAACTCAAGAGGATGGTACTGTTATGGCATGTGTAAAAATATAACATGGGAACTCTGGATTATGTGTTGATTTTCATAACACACTGAAATAAGAAAAAGTTTACTGGTAACTTTTGTAATTTTATATGAAATAATATGTGCATTTTTTTGAGTAGAACACTAACTTATTTTTTCCTCTCAGAGTTGGCTCGGGTCATTACACTGCATATGCAGCTCATGAAGGGCGTTGGTTCCACTTCAATGACAGTACTGTTACTTTGACTGAGGAGGAAACTGTAATGAAGGCCAAGGCCTACATCTTGTTCTATGTGGAACGCCAGACCAAATCGGGATCAGGCACCAAACTTTAATGCGTCCCACCTTTTTATAAATATTTGCAACATATATACTGAATTGGAGCGCACACAAACAGTTCCACATTTCCATAAGTACTTGATAGCTCAAGACTATTTTCATCTTGCACTTTTAAATCGCTGATGAGAATTCTGTTTATTGCACCATTGCTAGTGTCAATACAGTAATCGAGGAGACCTGATCTAATTTAAGCCTATCACAAAACCTCAACAGAATATTTTTGAATCTGTAATGGCTGCTGTTGATCAAGAATTTAGTAGTTCGGTTGACATTGAAATTCAATATTTTAAAATGATCTCTGTACTATAAATTGTGGGATAGCATTGACTGGCTTCAAGGTGCATTTACATTAGTGTTTCTTCAGACTTTTCACACATCTTAGTTTGTGATTTCTAATTTGACACAAGGTTCAGAAGTCCTCATTGTTTCAGCAGTAGTTCTGCCTGAAGTGTACCAATTGATAAAACATTTCAGTTTAGAGTAAGTGCTCAAGGTCAATAAAGTACTGACGTAAGTGTTTGAAATGATTATATGCATTAGAGAATGGTTGAGGATCTTTGAACAGACTGTTGCCCTCCCCTTCTCTCTGATAAACAGTACATTACTGTCTATATTCAGAACTTGATGCCAGTATGAAGTTCAGTATTATAAGGTACATGGAGTGTAACTACACCTTGACCCTACATTGCTATACCTTCCTGTAACAGCCCAATATTTTTAAAAATAGAAATAGACCATTCTCTGTCTGTAATTTGTTGGGATTTCTCTTGTTGCCATTTTTCTCGTGACCACTTGTAAACACTGGTTACTGGGAACAAAAGCGTTCTCCTGAGTTTCATCCATGCTACAGAGTTTGTGATTTTTACATTTTCATTTAGGTATTCCAAGTCTTTTTTCTCAATTCTCATTTTCTTGAGATGTCACTCGGCACTTGATTCTTTCAGAAAGCGTAAACAATTAAAAATAAATGATGGTGCAAAAAATAAAATGAACTGCTGAGTAAAAAATGGACTTCTCATCAATCCCAATACTTTGCTGGGCAGAGTAGGGTTTATATATATAGCTATCTGCATCATATGTTGCCAATGTGTGGCTACAATTGGATGTAGGATGACAAGTATGGTTTATGATTTACAACATCACCTGATTACGAAAGACAAATTAGACATGCTGGGTTACATTTGGGGAACCAGACACTGGGTGCATCTTGGACAAAATTGTTTCCAACCATTGCCGTGTACAACATGAAATAGTAGATTACAGCTATTGGAAGAGTCTTCTACTCGTATAAAATGGTATGATATTTTCGTACCAGGATATAGCCCTTTTTACTTATCAAAGACACTTTCTCATAAATTCCGTTTATAGTGGCCTGAGTAGTGTTTTAATTACACAATAAGATGAAATGATGTATTTGCATGTGGTTGTAATATACAAGGCAGCAGCAGCAGAAAAGGCGGTTTCTGGCATGAGACTCATGTCTCTTAAATGTGAAAACATACACATCCTAAACTTGAATCTGCATATTGAAACTGTACAAACTTATTTAAAATAATAAATTGTTTTAGTTGCAAAGTTATGAACTGACACAGTAACATCAATCACAAATGGCATTTATTCAGTTTAATCCCCACAAACCAATCTTGATTGTAAATGTACTACTATGGCTGCTTATAATGATGGTATGTATATTAGTAAATGTTCGTGTACTGTTTCACTGATAGTAAAGTGCAATGTTAATGATGCAAAACAGCGTTTTGTCTTTTAAAATAAAACATTTTATAAAGCAGTTTCTTTCTGGAGAAGGTGGTGATGTGGTGGTAATGTCACCGGACTAATAATCTAGAATTTCAGACTATTGTTCTAGAAACATGAGTTTGAATCCTACCATGGCAGATTTAAATTGAATTAAAATTTTAAATTAAAAATTAACTTAATGGTAACCCATGTCAATTATCATTAACACCCATCTGGGGTTCACTGATGGTTCTTTGGGAAAGGAAATCTGTCATCCCCACCCAGTCTTGTCTGTATGTGACTCTAGATATTTTTCATTGACATTTTCAGATGTGTTGTGACATGCCTGGAGTACGTGAGACATAAACCCACCCCTTCTGACCCAGAGGTAGGGATGTCAGAAAAGCCCTATCAGCGACATGGTTAGCACTGGTGCACCAGGGCCCCTTGTTCAATTCCAGCCTCCGTCGACTGTTTGTGTGGAGTTTGCACATTCTCCCCGTGTCTGCATGGGTTTCCTTTAGATGCTCCGATTTCCTCCAACAGTCCAAAGATGTGCAGGTTAGGTGGGTTCACCATGGACACTATGGGCAATTTAACATGGATGTGAAGGTAAGGTGGATTAGACATGGGAAATGCAAGGTTACAAGGGATAGGGAAAGGGGCGCGAGTCTGGGTGGGATGCTGTTCGGAGAGTTCGTGTTGATATGTTGGGCCGAATGGCCTGTTTCCACACTGTAGAAATTCTATGATAATTTCTAACCTGCTGCCATGGTCCTGTTCATCGGTTGTAAAAAATATTTATTTTATTTACCCAGTAAGTGACAGTCACTACACCCCAAAACTAATTCAGTTGCTGTGAAATGCTTGAGAACATCTGAAGGATGTAGGATCCACGCTGAGTTTTTTTTTTAAACTATACTTAATTATTCTTCACCAGCATCATGAATTAATCTCTTCTTGACTCCTTGAAGTGGTGCTTCTACGTCTGAAGGGCTATAAAAGATAAAGAATCTGTCAAAGTTTCCTATCTGGGATGTTGGATTTGGCAAAACACCATGTGGCTCATTCTTGCTGTTACCAGAGCTGTGAAACCTTACTTGAGAGAGAATTAGTGGAGAAAGAGGAAATTGGATTCCCAGTTATTAGATTAGATTTTGAGTTGTACAGGCGGCCTACTTTGTACATTTCCTAATTACGACTTTCACAAAAAGCATTTGCCCATTCAAAGTAAACTAACCGCTATTTTAAAATAATGGGAATATGATTTTTGCACACTAAAGTTTCACCACAAAAGTGTGACTCTGTACTAATGAAAATTGTCGTTAGAAATGGCAAGCAAGGTACTGACCATTTTCACAGGAACAGGTATGGAGTTTTGCGAATGTATATTTCATAGAAGCAGCCTTTTAAATCACCTGTGGCGCCCGAGAAGTGTGGAACCTGGAATGTGCCCCATCAGACGTGAATTAATTTCTTCCATCTTTTCTTCCAACAAAAGACACCATACCATATTGGAGAGGTAAGGTGCACCAATGAACCTGTGACAATTTTAGGTGTGAGGAGGAGTTGGGATCAGGTGTTACTAACAGAGGAGAAGAAGATGCTTAAAACCCTTAGAATGTCAAGTTGTCTGAGTTTCGAACCTGCTTTTCTCAATCAAACACATTCTGTAATATCTTTAAGTAATGGAATTTTACCTTTTCTTTCCTTCTGTGCACATGGGTAGTAGTATATTAGGTGAGTTCGCATGGTAAATGAGAGGGGAAGGGGTGATGGGTGGAACTGTGTGTTGGCACAGTGAGTAAGAGGGACCATGGGGATGGGTAGAGGTGCATAGGTTGGCCTATTTTATTTCCAATTTTGAACAGTGCAGGAGCCCCAAGGAAGGATTTTCCACTTGCCTCTGAAGTCAGAAGCATCATCACCTTGTTTGCCCAGCCATATTTCCAATCCACCTTGCTCCTGTGGATCAGAAACTGACTTCTCACATTACCATTTATAAATCGGATTTACAGAGCCTCGAATTCTCTGGCCTCCACCCCTGAATGAAAATCGGGGCCTAAGTGTTCATATCACCAAATTATTTACATTTCTTGCCAGTAAGTGAAGATGAGAACTTGTTGATATTTCAGACTCCTCCTTAGGCACAGTACTCTGATTCCTTTACATGTATCCTTCAGATTTCAGTTTGGCAGATGGTAATTTGGAGGTGACACTCTTAAGACACCAGCTTATCTTTGGTTTCATTCTCAGAAAAGAACATCAGGCTGCTTTTTAATTTCTGTGTAATTTAGATCAAAAGGTCTCCACACAGTAAAGCCAGGCAGACACTGCAGTGTGCCTGTAATGTGCAGTTGTTATTATCATAATTCTGCACAACCCTTTGCACAGGGAGGTCAATAAACCTGGTCTCTCCTTTCCTTCAGAGAATCCTATACTTCCTTTGCCCCAGTGTTGGTCCCTGAAACTTCTCCACATTTCTTTTATACCTTGATTTTAAAATTCTTATCATACTGTTCAAATGACCTTTTGTGCAGCTCTGGTTAGCCTCGCCTTTGGTTACTAGATTCCAAACATTGAACCTTTCCCCTTGAACCTCGCTGTCTTTTTCCTTCATATGTCCTGATACTCATTTTATGTCACTCTAGCATTTTTTGTTAACATTCCTGTGAAGTACTCAGGAAATTTAGTCTATTAAAGGTACTATAATATGTGCACATCATTGAAATCCTCCTTTTTGCTGATATTTTTGGTCTCCCTTTTAGTCAGTGTGACTGAGCATATGTTTCATGTTTCCCACAACATCTGTTATGGACCAGACTAAACCCCCTTCAAAATTATCAAGGAGATAGCCAAAATCTTAACCTTTAACTTATTTAAAGGCAAGTGTAAGGTTTTGTGTTCAAGATGTAACTCGATTGGTTACAGCTTTAAGCAAAATACATTTTATTTTTACTCTACAGTTTAAAAAAACAAACCATTAACAGGAGGATTGATATAACTTTACCTCTGTTGGAAAATGGAACAGAACAGTAGATTATTTTACAACTGAACAGCAACTGTCTCAACATTGTAACATCCCATAAACACACCCTTGGTAAATGCAAATTCATTAAAATAGATTGTCTCACATGCGATTCTGGCACTTCTGTCTTAAAACCTCTCTTCAAACAAAAATCAGCACACAGTACACATCTTAAAGCCATAGTATTGTCACACATCTCTATGAACATTGTAGTCCTCTAAAAATTCTGAAGAGCCATTGAGCATTAAGAGTAATCTGTCATTCACATGCCACATTTAAATAGTGAAATCGGCTATCATCATCTCCCTAAGAAATTGGATCCAGTGGCAAATCTTGAAGTGAAGTATATCCTTTTCATATTTATATGTATTTCAGTGTGGTAGTCTCTATGGATGGGGTTTGTGGATAATCATGGTTCAAGACATAACTGCCGTAGGTGCTACCTACACTGTCCAGTATCACTTCATTCATACTTGAAGGCACCCACATGAAGGAATTCCCATGGTAAACTGTTTTGCCACTGTTCTTGTCGCTGCCAAGAAATAAACTGCAATAAACTTGCCAGTGCCTTTCCTAATTAACTAAGGTAGTTTTTAAGAAAGTGAATTGTTAACTGAAACACTTTACAATATTCAGTCAAAGCCAATGAACCTGCTGTAAATATTATGCTTAGTAACCATGGGCCCTCACTTTCAGTCAGAGTATGTGGATCACAGGAAACTTACCATTTCACTCAAACAGTGTAATGCCGACTCCATTTCAACATTAAATTAAGTCTGTTTTAATCAAATAACTTAGAATTTTGGTAGGCTATTTCATTTAAGTGCACATACTTGATACCTGAAGGTTTTCTCATTATTTTTGCGACAAATTCGATGGGATTGCAAACAGCTGCAGTACTTGTGCTGAAATAGAAATGGTCCACAGAACACAGACCTGTATCTCCCACATCTTGGCTACTGTACAGGAGTAAAACTTATACAATGGTTCTTACAGTTTAACTCTCACCTCTTGCCTCCCACCAGAGACCTGGAAACAAAATCAGAATCTGGTACTTGGGGAGCTATGCTGGCAGATTAGACATTAAATGGAGGTTTTGTTTGCCGTGAGATGTAGAAACTAAATTCACCAGGGCACAGTTTTGAATGGAAGACTTCTTGAACTGCTACCTATTCTCTGTCAGCTAACAACTGAAACAATCTGGTTATTTTGTTGCTAGTTGTAGGAGCTTGCTTTGTGCGAGTTGCCTCCTGTTTTATACAGTATTTGTTCTCGCATATATAGAATTAGAAGAATTAATCAATATCCTTAATAATTATCATCCACACTAAACTGAAAGCCACAAAATTGTACATTTATAAATTGACATACTATTGATTGCACTAGTACCCCTGCATTTTACCTGTAGTAGCTCCTGAATTAATGCATCATTGCATAGAATCATTACCTCAGTCATTTAAAGTTTTCCTGGTTCCCAGTTAGCATAATATTTATTAGTCGGTTTAAATCTGCTGAACCCATACTGCCTCCAACTTGCCCCTAAACCCTCCGCGTCCAGCTTTGCTCTGACCCTGAACCCAACCCAAATGAAGCCTTCCTCTCCTCCATCACTCTTCAGCATCTTCCTCCCCTCACACCAGGAAAAAGCCACCCTGGCCCATGTCAAAAGCCCCAAAGTCCACAACAATAAACAGTTTTGGATCTCTCTATTAACCACTCATTACTCCTCCAATCACAGGAGAAGAACTCTACATTTGCTGATGTTAGACTAAGCAGTAAGCATCAGAGAACCAGCCTGTGACCAAAAGAACAGCTCCTCACCAATTCTCTACATTCTACTCTGGATGAATTTTCCTTGGTGTTTTGTGGGTGATTTTGCTCCAGTGCTTCTAAGTCAAGCAAGGAGTTAACCAAAAGGATTGTGTCAATATTTGATTTCAAATTTAATCTGATATTGTTGGGATGTTAATGAATTTTTACTATGTGAATGCTTTTCTGTTTAAAAGTATTCGAAGTGCATGATGTATCAGTTTAGTTAAATTGTAGGTTGGACCTTAAAATGTGACTTCATTTTCAGACGCAACCAAGTGATTGCCCAGCCTTTCAAATTGTGTTAAGTAGAAGCCTCAGTATCACCTTCAGAATTTCATTCTGAAGCAGCAAATTCTCCTCCTTTTGCTGGATTTTAGTCGGTATATCTGGTGCAATATTTCAACTCCAAAGGAAATCAAATTATTGTCTAGCTGACAGAGCTATTATTGTAATAAACTCCGGAAATACAGCCAGGTCAAATGCAGTCAGAGATGATATGGAAAGCACTTGTCTTTAACCTTGACACGTTCAACGTTTCAATCAGGTTTGAACTAAGTTTTAATTGAGCTTAACAGTTGCTGAAGCTATTTCTAATGTCCCAATTGATTGTGCAGGGGAGTGAGACTCTGATTTACCCCCAGACAAATCCAGTGCCTGTGTAGTTCCATTTAGGGTTGTTACTTTCTCTAGAGTAACTATTCCATTTCGGAAATTCAGCTGTTCTCATGCCAGGAATGTATTGGTACCAAAACTCTTATTTCAAGGACAACTGAAAATTTAATTTCAGAGTTAACGTTTTGGGTTCGGTGACCCTTCCTCAGAACTTGTAAAGTTACAGGTTTATTTCCCAGAAGGCTGCTGTCATAGTCAGAAATGCCAATGTAGACCCCACCACCCCAACGCACATACACACACACACACACGTGTTCAACTCAGTGTCTGGCCTGTTGTAGCCTTTATAAAACAAGGTTACAAAGCAGAAGGTACATGGACCAGAATGCCTAGGTATAATTTAATCCCCATTTCAATGTCATATATACTGGACCTACTGTAGTACCTCTGGATAAATAAAAAATATTTAAAAATCTTAGAAATAAGAGCTGGGGAGTTGCAATCCAGAGAATGTTGTCCGTAAGGTGATAGTTGTCTTTCAAGTCAGTGGTTGGGTGAAATTAGATCAATTCTTTTAAGCTTTCTGGGGTTTTCTATCTTCAGTTCCATGGAGGGGTGGAGGGGGGGGTGCGGGTGGTTGGTGGTGGTGGTGGTGTGGAGGAACACTGTCTGTCTGTTGGATCTGGATATTTTTCGCACTCTGCTGTTCCTAGCATTTACAGCTTCTTAACCCTGTACACCTAAGCCAATCAGCTTTTGCCAGGCAGAATTTTCTTTATTCAAAAGATTCTTAATGTCATTCAGTCTCAAATTCTCCCTTTTTGCTACCAGAAAGCAACATTGTATAAGCATACGCAGCGATATGCCGCACTTGATTTACAAGTTGCCGAACCTTCCTAGATTTTTCAGTTTTAGCAATTCAATTTCAATTTTACTGCTCAATAAATGGAAACACATGTTCTCTCAAAATAATGTAGTTAACAAGAGTTTGGGAGCTGGAGTTTGTTGCTGTGATACTAACACTGTGGAAGGTGAAAAGCTGAGTTAGGTCTACAGCACACATTGACCCATAACTGTAACTTCAGCATGATGCATTTTGCCAGAAATGAAAATTTCCAAACTCAATCTGACTTGTCAAAATGCTTTCTGAAAACTTCTATTCTGATTTACATTTTTCACAGTGAATTGAAGTATTAATGCCCAAAATTTTAACAATATGTTTTAAAGTAAATGGAGGCAGTCTGAACAGAGGCATTGTGCCTAGTCTCCATCCACTTGCATTAGTTGTATTCAGTTAGCTATTACTGATTGCAAATTCCAAATCTAGATCACGTTTTCACAGTTATACAAAAAAAATTCTAAAGAAAATTTCAGAAGCCTCATTATTAAGATCTAAATCCTTTTTGTTTTCCAAATCTCCCATGGCCTTGCTACTCCCTCTGTCTGTAATCTCTGCCTCTTAAAACTCACTGAGATGTCTATTCTCTAATTCTGACTCTTGGGCATCACAACTTTAGTAACTTCACTATTGGTGAAGCTAGGACCGAAGCTCTGGAGTTCCCTTCCTGCATCTCTCTGCCTCTTTAAATTAATTGTCACCTTTAAATGCTCTTGAAATGTACTTCTTTGACTGAATTTTTAGTCATCAGGAACAAAAACAGAAGTTGCTGGAAAAGCTCAGTAGGTCTGGCAGCATCTGTGAAGAAAAATTCCGAGTTAACGTTTCGAAGGTCACCAGACCTGAAAGGTTAACTCTGTTTTTTCTTCACAGATGCTGCCAGACCTGCTGAACTTTTCCACCAACTTCTGTTTTTGTTCCTGATTTATATTAGCTGCAGTTCTTTAAGTCATCAGGACTTGGCAGCAATGTCTCTATATGGTTGTGTCATACACTATACTTTGCTCCTGTGAATCATTAGCATTAATAAAAGTTGTTTATATTAAGCTTAAAGATAAATGAAATTTGTCAAAGAATGAAAACAGATTATATTGATTTTAGTTATTTGTGCTCTATAATTATCACTAACTCCATACTCTAAGATAATCTAGTTCTATTATATTCTCCCCATCTCAGTAGCACTGCTGTGTACATGCATCTCAATGCAAGGACTTCACAGAACTTCCTAACCAAAAAGCTGAAACAAAAGCAACCTCCCCCTGAGCAATGTTTGTTCCCTTAAGTTTAAAAACGACTCCAGTCCAGAAATTTTCTAGTAGAAATCTTGAAGTACAATTGTTTAACTTGCTCGGTTGTAAAAACCTGGAGTAAACCAAAAGGTAAAGTAGCCATCTCGAACTGCATTAAAAGAAATCACTATGGCTACAGAAGCACTTGCAAGTTAATTTATTTATTTTATACACACAGCCCCTGTTAGAAACTCAAAATTTGAAACTGATAATAAATAATATTAAAATATTTTAAAAATCATTTTATATTATATGTTCCCCAAAAGAAGAATAAAAATGTATCTTAGTTTTTGATGAGCAATGAAAACACTACCTTGCCTCTAAATCTAACATAATAACAGTAATAACATGTTAACTATAAATGCACAATGAGTTATTCAGCAATAATTTTTACATAAGTTCATCTGTGCCACATCACTCACCCAATCTTGACAGACATAGATGTCAACATTGGAATTTTTGTTTCAAAATACATGAGCAATTTTCAAGTTATACAGTTATTTCAATGGAACTTAATTCTCCAACTGTAAGCTCTTGCCTTAAAGTTTTTCTGAGGAAATTATATCTTTATTACAGAGGGAATGGGTATAGGAATGAGTGTAAAGTGGAGACGCTTTATTAAAACTACACTAAGCAGACCAAAACTGAAATGCTAAGACCAGTTTTGAACCCCTTATCTGAGGAAAGACTTATTGGCTTTGGAGGCAGTTCAGAGAAGGTTCAGTAGGTTGATACCTGGTATGGAGGGACTGTCTTATGAGAAGAGGTGGAGCAGATTGGGCATGTACTTGTTGGAAAATAGAAGAATAAGACCCAACCTTATCGAAAAATACTAGATTCTTCAGAGACTCAATAGGGTAGATACAGAAAAGTTGCTTCCCCTGTGGGAGTGTTTATGAGCAGAGGAGATAATCGCAATAAATGGTCACATGTTTAAATTATAGGTGAGGAGGAATTTCTCTGAGGCGGAGATAGTAAGGGCCACGGGTGCTGGAAGTCAGAGTCGATAAAATAGGGTGCAGGATGTAGGGTCCAGACTCAACGTCGACTTTTCTGCTCTTCTGATGCTATCTGGCCTATTGTGCATCTCCAGCACCACATTTTATTGAATTTATTTTCTGAAGCTTCTGAATTTATGGAATCGTGTAAATATATTCAAAGCTGAGATAGATCTTCAATCAATAAGGAATCGAGTTATGGTGGAAAGGGAGGAAAATGGAGTAAGCAATTATCAGATCAGCCACGATCTCACTGAATGGTGGAGTTGACTCGATGGACTGAATGGTCTACTTCTCCTACATCTTATAATCTTGAAGGAGTGTGGTCCTTATAAAAAAGTGTCTTCTTTTTTAACAGTTACATGATTTTGTGAATGTTAGTTTACTTGAAATATCCCATCTTGTCCTTTAGCAGTTCACACACCAACAGCCAATATGAATGGCTACACATAAATGGGATGGCTAAAATGAATGCAGTTGTCAGCTTTTAAATTTTCAAAGGCTTTTTGACTCTCCTAACTTTCCACCTATTTTCCATAGAATCCCTAGTGTGGAAGGAGACCATTCAGCCCATTGAGTCCACACCGACCCTCTGAACAGCATTCCACCCAGACCCACCCCACTACCCAATAATTCTGCATTCCCAATGGCTAATCCACCTAGTCTGTACACAATGAACAACTTAGCATGACCAATCCACCTAACTTGCACATCTTTGGACTGTAGGAGGAAACTGGAGTACCTGGAGGAAGCCCATGTAGACACAGGGAGAATGTGCAAATGCCACACAGTCACCCAATGGTGGAATTGAACCCAGGTCACTGGCACCATGAGTTAGCAGTGGTAGCCACTATGCCACCCCATTTTATTTTCAAATTTAAGTGCCACAACAGTGTTGAGGTTTGGAACACACTTATATAGAATCCACTGAGACTGAGATTGACACAATATAAAATTTTATGTTTCAGCTTAGGAATGGGAAAATCCAAAATAGCCTGAACTTTTGCTTCTCCATGTGCTCCTTGGCCTTGTTCCACAGTGTGGCCTAAATGTACCACCTCTAAAGATCACTCACCCTAGCCAAATTTTTGACCAAATTGGCTTTTTGTAGTTCAGTCAAATGGTGTAGCTGTTCTTCCCAGGTTCAGCTAAAAACAAGGTGACAGGTGAATCATCAATGTAAGCAGTACAATTGCCAGCTCCTTTGATTACTTTACTGGTTAATTGTTGAACCTTTTCATTCCAAACAGCATGACATTGCATGGTGTTACAAAAGCTGTTATTTCTTTAGCTCTAATTTAAAACCAAAAGAACTGCGGATGCTGTAAATCAGGAACAAAAACAAAGTTGCTGGAAAAGCTCAGCAGGTCTGGCAGCATCTGTGAAGGAGAAAACAGAGTTAACGGTTCGGGTCCGGTGACTCTTCTTCAGGGCTTTTGTTGACTTTTGTGAAAAATCATACGTACCCAAATCAACTGATACAATCTTTGAGCACACATTTCAGATATCAAATGTACAGTGCTATATGCCATCCAACCCATCTATTACATTTAATTCATAAAGTGGAGCTGTATTTTGAATATGTTTGAATATGTATGAATATGAGCTTTTCTTAATATGTTTATCAAAAGAGCCCTTGCACCTTGTGAAGGTGTACATAAGGAACGAAGTAGGAATGGACCATTCAGCCACTTGAGCCTGTTCTGCCATTCGATAAGATCTTGGCTGTGGCTTTAAATCAACTTTCCTGCCTGTATTCCACATCAGTAAGATCATAAGATCAACAGTGGCTCAATGGTTAGCACTGCTGCCTTATAGTGCCAGGGTCCTGGGTTCAATTCCAGCCTCGGGCAACTGTCTGTGTGGAGTTTGCACATGTCTGCATGAGTTTCCTCCCACAGTCCAAAGATGTGTAGGGTAGGTAAATTGCCCATAGTGTCCAGGGATGTTTTGGTTAGGTGGGTTAGAAATGGGGAAATCAAGGGTAGGGGAATGGGTCTGGGTGGGATGCTCTTCAGAGGGGTAGTCTGGACTTGTTGGGCCAAATGGCCTGTTTCCACACTGTAGGGATTCTATGAAGCCCCCCCAACAGCTTCTGAGACATTCACGAACAAATATGTAAGCAGATTATGGAAAGATGCAACAACAACAGGGTTTGTCATATGGGTGACTTTTAACTTCCCCAATATTGACTGGGAATCCCTTAGATCAAGAGGCTTAGACAGGGTAGAACTGGTTAAGTGCATTTGAGAGGTTTCTTGAAACACTGTGGATAGTCTGACTAGCGGAGGGGCCATACTGAATCTCGTATTGGCTAATTAGCCAGGCCAGGTGACTGATATTTTAGTGGTACAGCATTTGGAAACCATGATCACAACTCCTGAAGTTTTAAGAGACAACAAGGTGCAGGGCTGGATGAACACAGCAGGCCACGCAGCATCATAGGAGCAGAGAGGCTGACGTTTCGGGCCTAGACCCTTCATCAGAAAAGGGGGAGGGGAAGGGGGTTCTGAAATAAATAGGGAGAGAGTGGGAGGTGGATAGAAGAGGGATAGAGGAGAGGATAGGTGGAGAGGAAACAAACAGGTCGAAGAGGCGGGGATGGAGCCAGTAAAGGTGAGTGTAGGTAGGGAGTTAGGAAGGGGATAGGTCAGTCCAGGGAGGACGGACAGGTCAAGGGGGCGGGATGAGGTTGGTCGGTAGGAGATGGAGGTGCGGCTTGAGGTGGGAGGAGGGGATAGGTGGGAGGAAGAACAGGTTAGGGAGGCAGGGACGAGCTGGACTGGTTTTGGGATGCGGTAGGGGGAGGGGAGATTTTGAAACTTGTGAAATCCACATTGATACCATTGGGCTGCAGGGTTCCCAAGCGGAATATGAGTTGCTGTTCCTGCGACCTTCGGGTGGCATCGTTGTGGCACTGCAGGAGGCCCAGGATGGACATGTCGTCTGAGGAATGGGAGGGGGAGTTGAAATGGTTCGCGACTGGGAGGCGCAGTTGTTTATTGCGAACCGAGCGTAGGTGTTCTGCAAAGCGGTCCCCAAGCCTCCGCTTGGTTTCCCCGATGTAGAGGAAGCCACACCGGGTACAGCGGATGCAGTATACCACATTGGCAGATGTGCAGGGGAACATCTGCTTGATGTGGAAAGTCTTCTTGGGGCCTGGGATGGAGGTGAGGGAGGAGGTATGGGGGCAGGTGTAGCACTTCCTGTGGCTGCAGGGAAAAGTGCCGGGTGTGGTGGAGCTGGAGGGGAGTGTGGAGCGGACAAGGGAGTCACGGAGAGAGTTGTCCCTCTGGAAAGCAGATAAGGGTGGGGAGGGAAAGATGTCTTTGGTGGTGGGGTCGGATTGCAGATGGCGGAAGTGTCGGAGGATGATGCGTTGGATCCGGAGGTTGGTGGGGTGGTACGTGAGGACGAGGGGGATTCTTTTTTGGTTTTTATTGCGTGGACGGGGTGTGAGGGATGAGGTGCGGGAGATGTGGGAGACACGGTTGAGGGCGTTCTCGACCACCGAGGAGGGGAAGTTACGGTCCTTGAAAAACGAGGACAACTGAGATGTACGGGAGTGGAATGCCTCATCCTGGGAGCAGATGCGGCGGAGGCGAAGGAATTGGGAATAGGGGATGGCATTTTTGCAGGAAGGTGGGTGGGAGGAGGAGTATTCTAGGTAGCTGTGGGAGTCGGTGGGCTTGAAATGAATATCGGTTTCTAGGTGGTTGCCCGATATGGAGACAGAGAGGTCCAGGAAGGGGAGAGAGGTGTTAGAGATGGTCCAGGTAAACTTAAGGTTGGGGTGGAAGGTGTTAGTGAAGTGGATGAACTGTTCGAGCTCCTCGTGGGAGCACGAGGTGGCGTCGATACAGTCATCAATGTAACGGAGGAAGAGGTGGGGTTTAGGGCCGGTGTAGGTACGGAAGAGGGATTGTTCCACGTAACCTACAAAGAGGCAGGCGTAGCTTGGGCCCATGCGGGTACCCATGGCTACCCCCTTTGTCTGTAGGAATTGGGAGGAATTGAAAGAGAAGTTGTTGAGTGTGAGGACGAGTTCGGCTAAGCGGATGAGTGTATCAGTGGAGGGGGACTGGTCGGGCCTGCGGGACAGGAAGAAGCGGAGGGCCTTAAGGCCATCTGCATGGGGAATGCAGGTCCATGGTAAAGATGAGATGTTGGGGACCGGGGAATTGGAAGTTCTGGAGGAGGTGGAGGGCGTGGGTGGTGTCACGGACATAGGTAGGGAGTTCCTGGACCAAGGGGGAGAAAATGGAGTCTAGATAGTTGGAGATCAGTTCGGTGGGGCAGGAGCAGGCGGACCTGTTTGTTTCCTCTCCACCTATCCTCTCCTCTATCCCTCTTCCATCCGCCTCCCACTCTCTCCCTATTTATTTCAGAACCCCCTTCCCCTCCCCCTTTTCTGATGAAGGGTCTAGGCCCGAAACGTCAGCCTCTCTGCTCCTATGATGCTGCTTGGCCTGCTGTGTTCATCCAGCCCTGCACCTTGTTGTCTCGGATTCTCCAGCATCTGCAGTTCCTACTATCTCTGATTCAATTTTAACTCCTGAAGTTTTAAGATAGCTATAAGGATAAGTCAAGACATTGCAGGAAGGTACTAAAGGGAGAAAGGCAAATTACATCGGTATTAGCCAGGAGCTAGAGTGTGTTAAGTGCGAGCGGCTTTTATCAGGCAAGCCCACATGTGGGAGTTGTTCAAAGACCTACTGATCAGAGTTCAGGACCAGGATGTTCCAATAAAGAAGAAGGAGAAGGATGATAAGGTAAGAGATCCTCAGATAATGAGGGAGGTTGTGAATTTAGTCAAGAGGGAAAAAGTATATATAAGGTTTAGGAAAATAAATTCAAACAGGGCCTGAGAGGAATGTAAAGAAAGCAGGAAAGAACTCTTAAAGACTCCAGGGAATTAGGAGACCAGAAAGGGCCATGAAATGACCTTGATAACACAGCCTGGAGCTGGAGGAACACAGCAGGCCAGGCGGGCATCAGAGGAACAGGAAAGTTGAGGTTTTGGGTTGGGGCCGTTCAGAAATGGGGAGGGGGAAGGGAGCTGAGAAATAAATAGAGGGCGGGAGGGTGGGGCTGGGGAAAGGTAGGTGGGATAGTGATAGGTGAGTGCAGATAGGGAGTGATGGGGATTGATCAGTGTGATGGGTGGAGTGGATATGGAGAGAAGATGGACAGGTTGTGTCGGTTCAAGGAGGTGGGAGGGAGGATGGGTGGGGTGGTGACAGGTGAATGCAGGTAGGGGCTAGTGGGGATTAGTCAGCAGGACGGGTAGGGTGGATAGGTGGGGAAGAAGATGGACAGGCTGTGTCAGGTCAAGGAGGCGGGGATGAGAAGGAGGTTTGGATGTGGGATGAGGCCAGGGTTGGGGAGATTTTAAAACTGGTCAATTCTATGTTAAGGCCAAGTGCAGATGCCCCACAAAATGGTCCCCGAGTCTGCGCTTGGTCTCACCAATGTAGAGGAAGCCACTGTAGTAACGTATCCAGTGCGGCCTCCTCTACATCGGTGAGCCAAGCACAGACTCTGGAACCATTTCGTGGAGCATCTGTGCTCCGTATGTGACAAACGACAACACCTTCTGGTTGCCAACCATTTTTACTCCCCCTCCCACTTCCTTGATGACATGTCCATTCTGGGGCTCCTCCAGTGTTGCAGTGGCAAACTGGAGGAGCAGCACCTCGTATTCCACCTCAGGAGCCTACAGCCCGATGGCCTAAACATAGGATTCACTAATTTCAAAATCTCCCCATCCCCGGCCTCGTCCCACATCCAAACCTCCCTCTCATCCCTGCCTCCTTGACCTGACACAACCTGTCCATCTTCTATCCCACCTATCCACCCCCCATCCCACTGACCAATCCCCACCACTCCATACCTGCATCCACCTATCACCATCCCACCTATCTACCCAGCCCCATCTCTCCTCCCTCTATTTATTTCCCAGCTCCCTTCCCCCTCTCCATTTCTGAAGTAGGATCCCGACTCAAAACATCAACTTTCCTGCTCCTCTGATGCTGCCTGGCCTACTGTGTTCCTCCAGCTCCATACTGTGTTATCTCTAACTCCAGCATCTGCAGTTCTTGCTATTTCCATGAAATGACCTTGGCTAGTAGGGTTAAAGAGAATTCCAAAGCATTATATGCATACAATAAAAACAAGAAGATAACTAGGGAGAAAGTAGGACTGCTCAAGGATAAAGAAGCAGTCAGCATCAGTTTGTGCGGAGCAGATCTTGTTTTATTAGCACCACCTTTTCCGTCCATCCTCTCTTTAAGAAAGGTCAAATTGTTAAGTTCTTAGATTTTAACTTATAACCATGTTTCCTTAATGGCTATGAGATCATGTCCATTTATCTCAATTTACACAGTCAGTTCATCTACCTTATTCTGAATGCTTCATGCAGTAAGATAGAAAGCCTTTACATTTGTTATAATATCAAAGCTCCCTACACTTCCATGGTTCCTTTGCAGTTCACACATTATGTCCCTTTTATTTTATTTTCTGGTAACAATCAACCCCATCTCTAACCTGTAATCCTACCTTCTCATATACCTTTGATTTTCTAATTTTCCATGCACCTGAACTAAACACCACCACCCACCCATAACTATCTACAGCTCTAATTTTATGATTCAGCACGGACACAGGTCCCAGCATGATTTCAGGTGGAGCCTGTCCCATCAGAACAGCCTCTCCTTCCCCAGTACTGTGCCGTCAATTCAAATCCATTTCTCTCAATCTTTGAGTCACACATCTCTTCAATTTTGTTGACCCTGTGCCAATTAGCTCGTGGTTTAGGTAGTAATCTAGAGATTATTACATTTTTGATTACGTTTTTCAATTTAGCCCCTAGCTGCTCATATTCCTTCAACAGAACCTCGTTCTACCTATAATATCAGTATCTACATGGACAGCACAACTGGATCTTTCCCCTTCCACTACAAGCTCCTCTGCAGTTCAGATGAGATATCTGAATCTGGGCACTAGACAGGCAACACAGCCTTCAGGGACTCTCAATCCTGGTCACAAACAATAGTGTCTATAGTATAGTTAAACGTGACTATACTATTCCCAATCACAACTACATTTCTCTTTTCTTCTTCCTCTTGAATTTACTGTACCACAATGCTCAGTTTGCTCATCCTCCCTACAGTCACCACTCTCATCCACTAAGGGAGCAAGAATCTCAAACCTCTTAGACAAGCTTAAGGGCTGAAGCTCCTGCAGTCCTGCGTCCTGGATCCCTCTACCTGCCTGGGCTTGCTGTGTTCCTCCAGCCTCCTGATTGCTTACCTTGGATTCCAGCA